CTTACACAGAGACAGTGATTTTAATTCTCTCTTTTGTACCTCTATAACTAGCTAAGTGATAAGAATACACCTAAATTCTTAAAGTATAGGCCTTTACAGACAAGCCTGAATATCTATATCCTAACACTCCACCCCTTTTTCCCCCCCCCCCTTCCTTTTCTTTTGGGATCCTCCTGCCCAGGTATCCCTGGAAAAGCATAGGACATATGGCAACACATTTCCTGATAGGGTTAGGCATCAAGGTGGAAGGTGTCGATATTCCATTTGTTCCACTGCCCCTTGTGTAGTACAGGGCCCTGCACCTTCTCTCGGACAGGCATACCACACCTATTCCTATTAGTGTTCCAGACTTCCCATTATAGTGGGCCCGAGAAGGTTGGGTCCAGGTTGTCTAGTACACTGCAGGGTGGGGAGGCTTACTACATTACTTATAGGTTATTTCCATACACAACATAACACAGGTACAGTTAACAATTCACAACAACACCGAGTCCTGACCACTGCAGTATGGTCCAATATCTGAGCCACCACCAAAACACTGCCTCTCCTCCTTAGACACGGTTAAGATCTTAATGTGTCCAGTTGCAACAAGCTGCCCCTGCAGGTTTTGCATGCTTTTGTCCACATTATAAGTCCATTGAATGTGCATAGAGAAATGGGTTATTGTAAAAACCAACTTAACCACTTGGTATGGAATCAGGCAGTATGCCCCGGTTTGATTATTCACAGCGATAAGATTTACAGATTCATTTGTGCACCAAAGTCCAGATAGTAGCGTGTAGATGTGTGTAGTTTGGTTAGGGGCTGGTGTAATTGTGCCCCCAGCAATATGTACATTTCCAGCAAAACACTTCATACACAGTGCACCCAATTGTCCACCTCTTGCCATAGGCCATTGATCCTGCTCCTCCATAGTCATAGGAGACGGGCACATCCAAACATCTTTTCTGGATTTACACCATTTTACACACCCCTCCATTGATTCCCAGTGAGCTCCTCCCCTCTCATTATTTCCATTGGGCTTGTGGGGCCCACCTTAGTTGCCGTTCTATTTCCAGGCATTATGGTAGCTATTACACAGGTACTGGCCTATTAGTTGAGCATTTTGCATTCCCATACATATCTCCCCCCACAGGTCAGCCTTTTGAAGCCATCCCCCACCCACATCATGCTAGCAACAAGACAAACACCACAGACAAACAACACAAAACATAGATTCATGGTATTCTGGGTTATTCTTCCACTGGTGCCAGTTTGCTTGTAGAGTGTCTGAAAAACAAAAACAAAAAATTTCCACCCCCTCTGGTGGGGACAGATTATTGCTTAATAATAATACCAATTCCTTTTACAAATTTCCTTGCTAATTGCAGGAAAAACAGAAGAATTACCTCCAGGCTGTTCTTATTTTGTTCTATAGTTAGGCTAGTGAATTACCCCACTCACTGGTCATTTATG